GTTCAAAATTGTGGCCCTGCTACTTTTATGTAAATATTTTGTTCCTTTTTGGAGTTGGCAGACGTGGTTATCATGAACTGTCAGTTTTTTGTGGCGATGTTTAGTGTCTGCAGGTTATGTGGTTTCTTTAGTAGCTAGATGGCGACATGTGACAGTCTTTTTTTTATTGTAATGAATTATTAAATCATTTTCAGCCGATTCGTTAAAAAACGCTGATTCAATCATTTGATGCAGGGAACTGGTGGTGTCACGCTCGCAGTTGCGCTGTTTGGCCTACCAGAACTTCGCTTCCATATTTTCTCGTTCAAGACAGACAGTTTTGGCCTTTAGTGTTTTTATTATAGTGAATGTTTCTGTAAGTTGCATAATATATAAACGTACGCTAATTTGTAGGCTCATAACATTCTGTAATGTCTACTACATCCAATAGGCAAAGTGAAATAGCAGATAGAGATAGCTCTTTATCCAGTACCAAGCAGTGCAAAGATAATTCTGCCAAGAATCTGGCAAGAGAAGCTGTCTTTGTATTTTACAATCATTTCAGGGGAGCCTTAGAAACGCTTTTTAAATCATTATACTGTACAAAGAGCTGAAAGAAAATGAGAGAGCGTTTCATCGCACTGTTCTTGTTTTCGGCTTAGACGTTTTGGCACCTCCTGCCAGGCAGAATCACCCTGGGTGCATGGAGATAATAATGAAAGTCTTGTGATAGAGCACAGTCACGTTGGCTTGCCATTGTGTGAGTGTGTGTGTGTGTGTGGGGGGGTCATGAGAAAGAATGAGGAATTTTGTTCTACAGTGTTTAACATCACTTCCTCATCTCACATTACAAACCGACCATCTCTTCTTCAATGCAATGCCTTGTTTCTTTCTTGACTGTTGCCATAGTTCATTTTTACTAACAATACTGTCTCTTAGCCCTTTTTGCTCCTCACTTGCAACATTAAATCCTCATTCAGGAAATGAGAAATTTAAACAAGACAGCCTAGGAATATTACTAACTCTCAGTGTCAGTCTTGTTGTGCACTAGAAGAAAAAAAAAATTGTTTTACTCAGTTGTCTTGTTTTCCAGTACAAACATCTTAAACGTTCATAAATCAAGTTATTTACTTGAGAAGAAAAATATTAACTATTTTTTTCTGAAAAATGCATCAGGTGAGTTTATTCTTAAAACATGAAATAAAAAAAAACTGTCATTGGGGTAAGAAAAATAAACTTAATTCAAAGAGAAAACAAGATCGTCTTTCTTACCCCACTGACATATTTCTATTTTTTTTTTCTAATTTTCTAATTTAATCAAATTTTGATACATTTTACTGAAAATAATATTTGTTTTCTTAAATCATTTTCCTAGTAAATTTGTCTTGATTTAAGCATTTTTAGAAATTTATAATGAAAAACTAGACAAAACTTTTTCTTTTTTAAGTGTGAAAGGGTGTTTTACTATTTTTAAGGGATCTAATTTATGATTGTGTGCTTTTGACTTGCTCCAGTAGGTAAGCACCTAGCAACTACCCAGAACACCCTAGAGACCACCTAGCAACCACATGCCAACCTGCTAAATATCATTCAGAACACATTTGCAACCACATAGTGACATCCTGGCAACCGTAGCATCAAGGTGGTGAGTTGTATACGGTGCAAAAACATCTCTGTCTGGATGATAGTTCACTAGCAAACCTAAGTTATTGAACAGACACTTAGCATCAGTCCTATTCTTCTCTCTCCTAGTTGAACTGTTTATTTGTAGGTCATGTCTACTATTGGTTTCTTGACCAAAGTCAACCTAAAGGCAGTTATTTATAGTATTGCACATGTTTTGAGACACTGAATAACTAAACACTGAATAACTTTAAAAACCTTTTGAATTGTCAAGTTAACTATAGGATTAAATCATTTTCATCTGCCTCATAAATACTGGTGTAAGCAGCAAATTGTACATTTGATTGGTTGGAGGTCTGATCAGTCTTCATTTTATGACACGCCTCCTTCTCTGCACTAATTTGATGAGTCTAGTAATTATTGCAAGGAACTGCTGATGTAAAGGTTGGGTTTAAAGCCTGTTGTTCTGGCTGAAGAGATGAGAGAGTTATATTAAAATACCTGCATATATAAAAATATACAGTACTGTGCAAAAGTCTTAGGCCATTAGCATTTTCACCAACAAAAAATGGTTTTAAGTCAATTATTTCTCTTTTGCTGTAGTGTGTCAGTAAGAAATATCAGTTTACATTTCCAAACATTTCTTTTGCCATTAATTGGAATAATGCACTGAGATTGTTTTATGCACAAGGAGTCTGACAGCAGTCAGTGCTCCACACAAAGATCTGATCTTACCTTCATCCAGTTTTGACAAAAATGTCAGATAGAACCTTATAATTCCAAGGCGACTATCTCTCTCTCTCGCTCTCTTTCTCTCTCTCTCTCTCTCTCTCTCTCTCTCTCTATATATATATATATATATATATATATATATGTGTGTGTGTGTGTGTGTGTGTGTGTGAGTGGTCAGTGTAGTGTACTTTTGTTTCCATACACCCCAACTCCATATAAAACAACTTGACACAATCACATGGTACACAAAGGATGAAAGCCATATACACAGGAATCCAGACTGCAGCTATATTAGGAACAAAATTCCACCCCTGAGAACAGGCTGTGAACTTTGAAGTATTGTATGATTATACACTCCAGCAGAAACACACGGACAGATGCCCTTTAGTAACACAGGCCCTTTAAAATGGAGTAAAAGCATTTAGTTCAGCAATGTATTTACAGATTCACCTATCCAGAAAACTCTTTAGTATATAACTAGATTAGCACTGAAGTTTACTTTTAAGCTGTTTCTTGCCCATGTGCGCAGAGTGACGCAGGAAGGAACAAGACATCCTGTTGAAATGAATCATCATTCCAAAAACCACAATCCCGCCCTTTCCAGTAGTTAAAGAAGTGCTGTCTTTGTGCTCCCTTCAGCTAACAAACATCTGTTTCCATGAGCAGATCATGCAATAAGCCTTAAATCTTTACCCATTACAAATAGTGAACAGTGAACAGTTCCTTAAAGAAAAATTTTTTTAGGATGAAGAAAATTGTAATAATTGGAAGAATCTTTTTCCACTATAAAGAACTTTTTGTGCAATTGAAATGTTCCATGGAATTTAAAGGATTCAAAGGATACAAAGATTAAACACCACGTAAAGTATGAACACAAAACACCTTATAAAATACCTTAGAAAGTTTCTGAATGCTTAATTATCATATTTGAATATATGAACTTGACTATCCATCAGCCGTAACATATGTTTCACTGTATAAACATTAAAATGGAATCAAAACTGATTACTCACCCTTTTCAAAGATAAAGAAAGTGAAATGTTGACGTTTGAAACGTGGTTTGTGAAGGAACTACCCGTAAAGATCTGATCTAGACAGACTGAAACCAACACCCACCATCCGCTCAACAGGTTCGCTCAGTCCTGAGTGGGTTGAGCTTTGAATGAAGGATCTTTTCTCTGGGAGAGCAACTCTGACAGTTTTTAGTTTGTCATGCACGCTCGGGCTGAATTTATTCTGCTGGTGAGTGAACACAATGATCTAACAAAAGTAGAGGAATAGAACTCTCTAAGAGATCTGAAATAAATGTGTTAAAGGGGTCATATGATGCGATTTCAATTTTTCCTTTCTCTTTGAAGTGTTACAAGTTCTTGGTGCATGCCGGCCTCCGCTTACTCTAGCCCGCCGTGTGTGACACTGTGTTTCGTTGTGAAAGCGGGACTACTTTGTTTGGCCTTCCAAAAGAGGACACGAATCAGTGGTTAAATTGTATTTACAACACTGTTCCAGAATAGTTCAACCCAAATATTCAGATGTGTGCAGTGCATTTTATGGAGGATGGATGAGGTCTTGGCCTATAGTATATGGGGAAGTCGTGGCCTATTGATTAGAGAGTCGGACTCGTAACCCAAAGGTTGTGGGTTCGAGTCTCCTACCGGCAAGGATTGTAAGTGGGGGGAGTGAATGTACAGCGCTCTCTCCCACCTTCAAAACCACGACTGAGGTGCCCTTGAGCAAGGCACCGAACCCCCAACTGCTCCCCAGGAGCCGTAGCTAAAAAAAAAAGGCTGCCCACTGCTCCGTGTGTGTGTTCACTGCTGTGTGTGTGCACTTTGGATGGAATAAATGCAGAGCACTAATTCTGAGTATGGGCCACATGTCACATCACTTATAATCTGTAATTATGTCCCCACTGGATGCAACAAATGCCTCGTTTATAATGGGTTTTAATGTTTTTGTCTCGTCGCTCCGGCCGGACAGGGCATCAAAGTATGGTAAGGGCGTAACATTTCCGTCACACGCGTGAGGTATTAGGCCAATCACAACGCGGATAGCTGGCCAATCAGAGCACACCTCGCTTTTCAGAACGATGAGCTTTGTAAAAATCGACGCGTTTCAGAAAGGCGGGGGCATAGAGGAGAAACAATAATGTACAGTATGTGGAAAATAATGTGTTTTTTTAACCTTAAACCGCATAAACACATTTCATTTCACCAAATACACAAAATAATGTTCTTTTTCGCAACATCATATGACCCCTTTAATATAAAGGAATTTTCAGAATTGATTTTTCACAGGCGATTTTTGATTTTGTTTACTTTAAATTACACATTGTGTTGTGTTTTGTTTTAGGGTTGGAGGAAATGTGCATAAACTTAACGGAAAAGTTACTGGTAATTTTATGCCTGGACATTATCATCCTATGGATTTCAATGTATACAACATTGAGAAACAGGTCAAATAAATATAAAAATTTACCACTTTATTTATTTATTTATCTATCTATCTATTTATCTATTTATTTAAAATAGTCCCTCTATGTTTTAATAATACATTTCAGCATTTGATTCTACTTTGATTCCTACTACAAAAAAGACATTTGACTTTCATCTTGCACAAGGCCAGCCAAATTCAGGCATAAAACATGACAACAAATGCAATTTTGCAGGCCAATAACTGAGAATCTTTATTAAAGCGCCACTTTGAGAGATTGCTAAAATTTATAGAATAATTTTACAAATTCAAAAGCTCAGTTTTTGGGCAGGGACTGTGATTAATGTATAAATTAATGGTTGAAACAAAGGAAACCCTACAATAAAATAAAGTACAGATGAGAAGTGGAGCTAGTTAGCCATCAGTAAATAGACAGAATAAAACCGTCTTCTACGCAATTAAAAATCCATTAGAAAGTTTCAGCAGATGAAGTCCCTGATCCTTAGATTTTGCTTGCGTCTTCATCATCCCTATGTCAAAGAGATGAGGTACTTTTTAAATTATACCATTTTCATGTCTCTTATTATCATAAATAATATGTTTTGATTTCAAAATGTACATAATTTCATTTAGATGTAAAAGTGTGAATATGACAGTGAGATCAGGTGACCTACTTTCTTTTTGGTTTGCACTGCCCCCCTGTGAAGAGAACAATCTGTTACTCTTTTTGCCTAAAATGTCAAACATAAGGTTTTCTTTAGGTAGAAAATGCATGTGTAAAAATTCAGAGCTACTTACAACACAGAACTCCAACCCCTCCAGCTATAAGCAGGGCTGTGAAAACCAAACCCCCGATCCTCAGCGCCTCATAGTCTAAAAACAGAAGCATTTTAATCTAGCTTAAAAAGGATTAAAAATGGTATATATTTGTATACATTCATACGTATCATATTTATACATTTATATTCATATTTATACATTTTATATATATTATAAGTTATATTTATAAGGATATCATGAGCATCTGCCTCAGAGTACTTACTGTAAACAAAAGGATCTGCAAAGGCAAAAAAAGAGGAGAAAACTTAGACTGCCATTGAAAACAGACAATAATGCTGCCAAAAATCTTAATGTTGTCAATGCATGAGACAGGATTAAACATTGAATAGCGATATTAGAAACAAACAAACTTTTCTGTCTTACTCGCTTCAGCTCGACTGAAGAGTGCCAAGAAGACTGTAAATGAAAATAAAGATTTATGAAAAATCATACACATACACAAAGAAAAAAATAATTACTGGCATTAACAAACGAATAAAGTATAAGACATTTGGGGGAAAGGTAATACTCTCAAAATATTGCACTCTTTTTTAAGATTTAAAATAAAAATATACATTTTGTTCTGTAAAATAAATAAGCAATTTAAGTTCAAATTCATGATTTATGTATGTCATAAACTACTGTGTATATATACTGTAATGAGAACTTAATTTTGAATTTAGAAAAGATACTAGTTTTTATAACCATAATTTTCTAAAAAAAAAAAAAAAACAGTTAAAGTCAGTAAGTCCTATACTGTAAACCATAATTTTCTAAAAAAAAAAAAAACAGTTAAAGTCAGTAAGTCCTATACTGTAAATGTGGACAGAAAGTCTTTTTTTAATACTTGACCTTCAGTCCCAAGGGCACAGATCAGTCTGTGACCTTTACTGTGTACATAAATAGTCATGACTTACCTGTAAGGAGAACTAGTTCTGTGAGCTGGCTCATTTTTACCCCTCCTGATCAAGGACACACACACAGACACACACACAGACACACACACTAAATGAGCCATTATATTTTTTTTGTCTTACAGTAATAATTCACTCCAAAAAATGAAAATGTTGTCATTTATTCACCCTCAATAGTTTTAAACCCAATATAATAACAGTAAATGAGTGGGGTTCCAAAATAACAAAAAATACCCTAAATGAGTCATAAATTCTCAGTTGATTCCGATCACACAACAATTATTGAATCCGACTGATTCAGTTCTCTTAAACTCACTAAACATATAAAACAGATTTATTTTGAAATACTTTTTCAGTATATATAAACATAATGCCAGTGTCGGCTACTTGCAGCACATATAATTAGATGGAATATGTTCTGTTCCCATGTACAGGTCAACAGTGAGACGCGGAATGTTTGTTTAGAAACTCCAGCTGTAAGTGCAGCTGAGAGAAAGCAGCACTCGTGTTTTGAAAGTAAACATAAAAATGATGGGTCGACACAGTCGGGACGCAGCACGTTCCAGGACACTGCTGGTGTACCCTTGAATGCCTGGAGGTGTTTTGGAAAGTTTGCCCTCCCACCTCCTCTGGTTATAGAATCATCTCGAAACGCTTTGGATCTGTAGCTCACTGACCACACATGGGCCCTGAAGTCTGGATGCCATTTTTGTTATATTAATGTATCTTTTATCTGACTGAATAGATTGAAGAGATTTAAAGAGAGTTCACACAAGAATGAAAATTCTGACACCATTCTCACACTCAAGTTGTTCCAAACCTGTATGAGTTTCTTTCTTCTGTTGAACACAGAACATATTTCGAAGATTGTTGATAACCCAACAGTTGCTGGTAGCCATTGACTTCCATAGATTTTTTTTGTTCTATACTCTAGACGTCAATGGCTACCAGCAACTGTTTGGTTATCAGCATTCTTAAAAATATCTTCTTTTGTGTTCAACAGAAGAAAAAACCCATATAGGTTTGGAGCAACTTGAGGGTGAGTAAACGATGACAGATTTTTCATTTGTGCATGAACCATCCTTTTAAACAAGGCTTCCTCTGAAGTCAGACTTTCTAGGGAATATTTACAGGACTTTCATGTAAAACAGTTCTCGAAAGGTCCACGTATCCAAAATGGCAGGTGTGGGGTCACCTTCATCTATCGACCTGATTCTAAGACAGAATCTTTATCTAATCACGGTTCATTTGTACTTAAATGAATAACTCAGAGCTCGGATTATGTATTAAATCACAAATGGCAATGAATCAAACATTAATGAAGATTTTCTAAAGATCCACACTGGCATGCGAGATAAGTAAATACTATTAAAGTAAGTAGTTCTTCATTGCATCATTCCCATGTCACATTTAGTACAATCCAGTATATATAAAAAAACCCTGATCTTACCTTAGCAGAGGAACTGATGGCTCTCTGAGCAGTAGATGTTGGATGAAGCTCCTCAGGTAGGCTAATCTCACGACCTTTCTGTCTTTTCTATAACCTTTAAAGAAAACTCCTCTTCACTGTATACACATAAACACAGCACAGCATATCAGATCGATGCATTTTGGGTGTGTGCATCATCACGTCATCATGACCACTGTTTAGCCCAAAACATGACCTGCGTGTTGATGAATTACACACAGCTTCAAAGTTGTTTAAGATGGAGGTTAACATGAGTACACCTACAAATCAGTGTCCTTTAAATGTTCTTTCATTGACTATAGGCATTAAAGCTAATGTCCTTTACCCAACAGTCACCAGTAATGTGACACTATGAGCATCACTCTGAAGGGCAGAGCACTTTATGTGAACACTTTGAAGGGTGCAAGGCATTACTGTCTCATATGTTTGGTTCACCATATACAAAGACATACATCATTGCTACTTTATTTTTGAATTAGAATGTTACCTTGATAAGGTAGCAGCAAAATTCATGTTTAGAAACATTTTAAAAACCATTTGAACCATATATTGCAACTTTAAATAAAAAAACATTAAAAATGTAGGAATATAAAAAAAATTATAATAATAGTTACAAAATATATATTTTCTATATTTATATATAAAATACATATTTATATATCATATAATATATAAATCTTTCTACATGATATGTATGTATATAAATCATGATTATAATATAAAAATTATATTATAATATACATTGTAAAATGTATAAATGTTTTGCAATATATGTATACACGTGTGTGTGTGTCATAGGGCCTTTCTACGAGAATGTACAGTAATGTCTCAAATTTTATATAAAGTCATATATTAAGTCATTTTGATTTTATATTTGGCAGTTTGAAAAAATAATTATGCCTCGATGTATTATCATGTAAGTGTGGCTAAAGTCTCTAGAAAGGCTTCAAGTCAAGTAACCAAAGCAGGGGTTATAAGCAAAGTAATGTCACTTTTTAGGGTGTGTGCTTGAAGAATCATCCTAATCACTGCAAAAAAAAATGTGTAAAATTATTTACTTTTGTAGTCCAGGAATATTTATTATTTATTTTTTTTAACAGTACCGATTACAGTCATATACATAGAGAACAAAAATCTGCCCTACTGCACCATTCCAGAAGAAATGATATACCCTAACCGCAGTATTTAAGCCTGCACAGGCAGTCAGGGAGCTGCTCTCTAGGACATCTCCAGCAAACACATGAATCAGGAGCAGTCATCTGAAAGATTACACGGAAAAACTCTACGCTTATCTGACGCTTTTATCATTATATGTGCTGTGCTGATGTTTTGAACACCATTTTTGATTGGTGTACACACACTGTGGAAATACACACCTGCCACTTGTTGATTTCTATTTGTTTTATTGTATTATTCTAAAATATATTTATACTGGGGTCAAACTGACCCCAAATAAAAGTCTCTATACAAGATAATCACCTTTATGAAAAGTACATGCTGATAAGACAGAGAGCAAAAGCCTCAGTAATATCTGTTTTGATAATGTCAGTGGAACATATTACAAGAATTTGAAATGAAAATAATAGGTTAATTAAATTACTCTGACTATTTTTATACAGGTATTGGTATTATTGGTATTAAAGAAAACAAAGCATTAACATAAAGGCAAAAAAAATAAATAAATAAAAACAAATGTTTTAGATCTGACAGTCTAATCTGATTTGAAATGTTCTCATCTACATTTCAGATGTTTACAATAAGGTTTACATTTTTAATTGATATGAGCATATGGTGAAAATATCATACAACATTAAACTTAAATCTGACTGTGAGCTAAAGCAGATGGTTGTTGTGTGCTGTGATGTTACCTCTTGAGTGTTTACAAATGCTGGAGCACATATGCAAATAGTCAAAGCTTCAAAACAGGCTTAAACGCACATTTTCTGAGCCAAACTTTAAAATGAAATACTCATGGACTGATATCTACAATTAAAAGCATAGCAGAATAGAAACACGGCCATTCCAGGGTGCAGCGAACCACCTGTGTCAATATTGACCCATCTACTATTGATCTACTCAACGCTACCCAAAAGCCTCAGTTTGAGTGCTGTGAATGCTGTCATTTAGCCACTTAAAGAAATGAAATTAAATCAGTCAAAGTTGTGCATAATTCACAATAAATTGAAAATAAAAAATAACAAACTAAATTAAATGTATATTGTAAACAGCATGACAATGACCAGGAGTACTTGACTATTCATTAAACAGCAGATCCTCGATTAAATAATCCAGTCTTTGTATTTGTAAAATATACATTATTAAAAGGTGGAGTTGCTTGATGATTAAAGTGGATTAGCCAATAAAACATATTCCTGGATCAAAATCCCTCTGACTTCAGTGTAAGTTAAGGTTAGAAATTTAAATACAGTTATGATAGTTAATGACCAAAAAAAGGATTTTGAACCAAGTACATTAGAAACTAAAACATTAATGGCTGTGACCATAGAAGTGAAGACGCCCTCTACTGGACAAGACTGAAACCTGAGAAACATAACTAAGCCTTCTTTCAAATCTATAGAAACTAATTGTATGCTGTATATTACATATATTATCTTATGGTGTGTGTGCTATATTATAATTATTATTATCAGATCCACATTTGTTCATAAGGAGCATGAGAGGGGTTTCAATATTGCTTAGATTGTGCCGATTGCACGTCATCTTGGATTCCACCCACCGACCCTAGAAACAAGACCAAACTTTAGAAACTATCTGCCTGTAACTCAATATCTCTTCATGCAAATTAGATATATTTGAGTGAATATAATGTGCAGTACATGTGCAAGTATATGAGTAACGAGAAACTTACTGAAGCAATGCTGTACTTTCTCTGATCTTTTCAACAGGACATAAGCCACAACGATGGTAATGAGGGCAGCTAAAAATCCTCCAATCACGTATCCAATGAGCCTAGCATAGTAAGAATCATTCTCTAAAAGGAACACAGAGAGAGAGAGACATGAAGGCAAGTGCCTGTTCACATTCACACACACATTTAATTGCTAGTAACATACCGTACACATAAAGGCGTCCGATTTTGTCATCTATACCATTGACCTTGCACAAAAAAATAGTGCCATTGTCATCTTCTGATGTTCCTGCAACTTCCCAAGCAGCTACGTCTCCACTAGTTTTTTTATAACAGTAAGCTTTCATTGACTGGGGAAAAGAGAAAGATTTATGGTAAATTTAAGGGCACTATCATTTTACAACTGAGCAATTAAATATACTCTATTTCTTAATAATTAATATTTTAAAAATATATATATATTATTTAGCAAATTAGATATATCTATCTTGCTATCTAAGTACATCTATCTATCTATCTATCTATCATTTGATAAATATTATTATTATTATTATTATTATTTAATATAGCACATAGGAAATTACATCATTTGGAAATTTTCTACAGCATAGTGGAGTAAATAATAATTATTTTTTTACACAAACTGTTGAGTCGGCTGCTTTTGTCAAGCTAATCCATTTATACCTGTTATTGTAGAAAAATGAAACATTTTTCTTTAACTTATGAGAGTTTAATTCATTCTCATTAGTAACTAAATTATGTAGAAACAATATTTAGACTTTACAGAAGAACTGTAATCTACACTCTTCAAACTAAAGGTTCTTTTTGGCATTGATTGTTCCATGAAGAACTTTAAACAGACATCCATAGAACCTTTCCATTCCACAAAATGTTCTTTATAGTGAAAAAAGACGGTTCTTTTAAGAATTGATCACTGAAAGATTCTTTTATTGCTCTGCTATGAAAACACCCTATTGGATCCTTTATTTTTAAGAGTGTAGGCAAAGTCTTGCTACTTTTTCATCTGGTTTTGATCGTTAATCACTCTATTTGTGTTGTTGATTCTGAAATGTTAAAGAGAGTCATAATGATAGGTGTGTCCAAACTCGACTGCTAGTGTACAGTGTGTGCACCACAATAGTTTAAGGAGAAGTCACCTGAGCGGGTAAGTATTTGGTTTTGTCTCCTGGACAAGCCATAGAATCATTGACCTTTGAACCCATAATGTAAAACCAGATTTGTTGCCCATTCAATCCACTGACACCACATTCAAAGGTGACAGTTTTTCCGGTATCCGAGGTCAAATTCTGAGGAACTATAAAGTGATTCAGGCCTAAAGCACAGGAGAGAAGCAACAGCGTGAGGAGGAGGGTTTCACTCATTTGACTAAGAAATTATGAACTTGGCTATTCTAATAACCACACCTGTACACAAACTAGCCAATGAAGTCTAAATATAAATAAAGAAATGTTCAAATCCTCTCATTTTGAGCCAATTAAAATATAAAGTTTGAAAAATCCCACTTTACCAACAGCTATTTGTATTGTCCTATTAAACACAACAGCTTATTCAACGGAAGTTTAAAAGTCGAGGAACATGAACTATCCAAATCTATCACAAAAACTGGCATTTTCTTTAACCGTAAGCATTAAAATGAAACCGGAAAACACACCTTTGGTAAGCGAAGCAAACTGCAGCACTAAAATCAGAAGCCACATCAGAGAAACAGCGGTTTGAGTCTTCATCCTTCTCATTTCATCAGTTGTCACAGGGCCACGAAAAGCCCTTTCTGCTGGTCCAGTCCCTCGAGCGATGGCTCAGTAGCAAAGCAGATGAGAGCAGTGCTCTTTCTCAGTAGAAACTGCGCTGAAAAACACCCTGTCGGATGGAGGATGCTCATTTGCAAGGACCTCTTCCAAGAAATTTTGAGGCTGGGCTGGGACATAGCCTATTCCAACATTTACAGCCACGAGTGTCGCTCTCTTTACACTTCCTTGTGTGCTTAGCACTGATTTCTTTATGCTTTCCCTTCCTCCTAGCATTACTGAACTGCCATTTGAGTATAAGGCATTTTACTGCCAAAACTAAAATTTACATCAGCCAGAAAGACACATTTTTTCCACCCAGCAATGGTTCCATGGATGCCAAGTAGTTTTTATGAATGAAAGAGTTATCTTGTACGCATTCAGATTTGAAATGTGTTGCATTAATTTGTACAAACCTATAATGCCATCAGAACATGGTGAAAATTAGAGCTGTTACCAGGATTGAAACTGGACTGGACTGACTACAATACACAATATAATATAGGCATATAATGATAATAATAATACAAATAATTTTTGTGTATATACATGTTGGAATTAATACACAGCTAAGAAGAACATTTTAACATTAACATTTATAAATATAGATAATTAAACGCTTAGATGTTTTTGTCAATTGTTAAGCACAAATAAAAATAACCACATTTGTTTTTTATTAAAAATAAAATCAATTACTTTATTTCAGTATTTAAAGTCATGTATTATGGGTGCAAAATTTATATTTGGTTGGAAAGAACTGAAAAGATTACAGTATGTCAAAGGTCAGAATTTCTATATTGTGCATATATTCATCTCAGTTTCATTAACAAAAATTTAAGCATATGTGTGTGTGTGTGTGTATTAGATACATATATACATTAGACATATACATTATTAACACACAGCTAAGTATGATTTATATATATAAATGATTAAATGCTTAGATGATTTTATGTCAAGTTTCTAAAGCACAAACAAAAATAACCACAAATTATTACTATTTTATAAAAAAAAATTAAGTCTTTATTTCAGCATTTAAAAGTCATATTATGGATGCAACATTAATATTTGGTTAAAAAGAACTGAAAAGAAAAAGTAGTGAGATTACTGTATGTCAAAGGTCAGAATTTCTGTATTGTGTACATATATTCATATCAGTTAGTTTCATGAACATGAAAACAGAAAAATAAACATATTTATAGAATAAAAGCTAAAAGCTGTTTGAGTTTTATTGTTGTCATATTCAAAAGGCCTAAAGAGCTACCAAATTACTACAAAATGTTACTCAGAAGGTTATGGTATAAAATCTGGATAACAATATAGCAGCTTAACAAAATTAGACATAGACTTGAATTAAACAGTGCATTGCATAGTAAGGAAGCTATTATGTACAAAAATATAAGCAACAATACTGACTGCCACAGTGCTGAGTTTATTCATACTGCTTTCTAAACCAGTCTTTGGTTTGCATTTTTACATTTAGTGCTTGTCACTTCAATGCTTAACCCATCTTTAAGAAAAAAAGAAGTGAAAATAAAATATAATACATGTAAAATACATCAAATGTGTAGTTTTCATGAAACATTTTCAAATGTCACCATTCTGGCCATTTCAATTTATAAAACCTATTTAAGTACACATTTAATCATGGCACATTTCACAGAGGCCTGTATTATTCGGCAAAATGCTTCTTACAAGTGCATGTACTAGAGATTTTGACTGGACGTGTGCCACTAGTAAACAAATTTGATATAAATACTGTAGATTGATATAAAGTTGAGAGTCCTTGTCAGATTTAGAATTGTGATAAAATTGTATTTGTGTGTGTGTTGCTGTCTGGAGTCCATGTTATGTCTGTTTGTATAGCATTATATTATTTAAATTAATAGAAAAATATATATATATTTTACAAGTAAATTCACTAGAGCTGAACATGAACATGGATTTAATTTGTTTTGCTACCATACATTCTGTACAAACCTGCAATAAAGTCGGATAAAAATACCCTATATTCTAAAATTATTAATAGTTTTTGTGTGTGAAAAAAAAGTTTATATATATATATATATATATATATATATATACACACACACACATATTATGAGTGGTTTTGGGTTCAGCCAAAATTGCTAATTTGATTACCTTATATATCGTATTTTACTGTATTTTGGTGACAGATTTTCAGAGAAAAATAGCATGTTTTATGTTAATAAAACATGCTATGTTCATAAACATATTAAACCCCAAAGTACAGCATCAGAAATTGTTCTTGGCCTCCGCGAGTCAGATATTATCCTTGAGACAGGTTGATCATCACAGAACATCTGATCAGCACCAGACGTCTGATCTCAGACTGATCCGAGCAACACATCTGACCTCAACGGGCAACATTTCAGTCTCATATTAAGCATTTTTCCACTCTGAACGGCTATGGTGTAACCGCCCGTGCCATTTTGTGCACCCCTGGGGAGTTTTCATACATCTGTGGAGATAAATGTGAGAGAAAGTTTGTTTTTATGATATGTAGATATGCTGTTGAAAGTGTGGCATCATCCTGCAGCACTCACCCTCATGGCTGTAGATATCCACGGAAGAAAGCGTGACACACGCGTGTAGACGCCGGGCTTTTTGGCCATGGCGCAGCCTGTGCCCCAGCTCACTACCCCCAGCAAACGATAGCGGCTGGTCTTAGACAGGACATCTGATGCTACAAAAGGACCACCGCTGTCCCCCTGACATCATATGAGAGATAGTATCACATCTCATATCACTTCACAATTCCACATAGCCACATCATGCACATTAGTTATGAATGTCGCCCTCTGGTGGACACGAGCTGCTCTGTCCATCTGAACTGATGATGTCATAGCTGAGTGGCAGATACCTGGCAGGAGTCGGTTCCTCCTTTCTCATAACCGGCACAGAACATGGTGGTTGTGACCTGGTTGTCATAATAATCCGGGCCATTGCAAACAGCATCACTGATGATGGGCACGTGGGCTTCCTGGAGGACGTTGGCTTGAGTGCCTGCAAGAGATAAAGAGACGTAAAAGAGGGCGTTTGTGTGAAACAGAAACTTTTCTGAAAGTCTCTAGAGTCCTTAAAAGGAATATTCATGCTTTTTCAAACTAATGTCTACTGTTGACTTCATGTCATGTTGGAATTATCATATTTAAAGGGATAGTACACCCCAAAATGAAAATTTTGTCATCATTTACTCAACCTCACATCATTCCAAATCTGTATGACTTTCTTTGCTTTGGTGGAACATAAAAGAAGTTACTTTGAAGAATGTTGGTAACCAAACAGTTTTAGTTCTCTTTAACTTTAACTTTGAATGGAAGTCGTTACCATCATTCATCAAAGCAGAAAAAACAAAATCATACAGGTTTGGAATTATATAAGGGTGAGTAAATAAAGACAGATTTTAGATTTTAGGAAGAACTATGTCTTTAAAAGCATTGTTATTTGTTACAAAATTGCATTACTATTATAAATAGCCATTAATCACAGTGTGTTGCATTGTCCCTTTTTATGGAAAGTAACTTTTGATTCACTTTTTCTCACTGTTGGGACATAATACATAGGACAAGGACATAAAACATAAAAAAATATATAATTGTGAATGCCATGACATATTATACTCAGCTAGCAGGGACTGTTCTCACTCACTTTGGGTTTTTGCCAATTTTTCTCAAAATTATGAACAAATGTTCTTCTAGTAACATTAATAGAACATTTGTTCAAAGTAGATATTTAATAGCATTCTCAAAATGTTATTTTTGCATCGTTTGAACTTTCTGAAAAGTTTTATTTGGATGTTCATCATCATGTTTTTTAAATGTTACTTGTTTCACATTGTTCAGTCAACATTCAATAGTAACGTTCCCATAATGTTTGAAGAATAATAATCCCTTAATGTTTTTGCTTGTGTGCATAGCCAAGAAAAATTGGGTTTAAAATAATAAAAAAAACTGGACATTATGAACGTTAAAAGAACATTCAGGGAAAAAACATTTTCATAACTTAATGAGAATATTAGCTAAATGTTCTTAAAATATGTTTTTGTTTGCTAGGAATGCATATACCAACCCAATCTCATGAAAGTGCGTATAAATAGTACGCCAAATAAAAAACGAAAACTCGTGGTATTGATACGCAAAAATGGACTTTGGCGTGTATATGCTACGTGATGGGTAGGTTTAGGGTTGTGGGGTAGATGCGTATCATATGTACGCGATAGACTTGTGCTGGTATTCGGTAATGCGATATATCACGGTAATTAATATACACGATATTGTTATCGTGGGCACTTCTAAATACCGTGAATAATTATATGTTACAAATTATTCCGAATTTTGAATGCATTTTAAGAATACTTTTCCCATCAACTGGTCAAAATGCACAACACTGCTGTATGCTGCGTGAAAGACACGTGCGCACTCTGGCGGAACATGTGAGAGACCCTCTGGATGAAAGCGCACTTTTACTCTCTGACAGCAGATGGCGCTAAACTGCAGCAATAATAATAATAATAATTCATTTAAATGCAGCCGTTACCCCAGAAACCATGTAAACAAAGCAGCTGCATTACTTTCTGTTTCTGAATCGTGTTTAAATGATTTAAACAGCCATTCAGATTTGTGTATTTGCTATGATGTTCATCACAGCATCAAATACTTATATATTTAGACTTAATAGGCTACTTATTTTCAAACTTTTTTTACATTTTAATCTGGACTACAACATGCCCTAGATATTGTTTGAAAGTGTTTTGATTCTTTATTGTTCGGTCACACTT